CAGGATTTTTAAAACAAGCGTTATAGGATGAAAGTGCACTGCCTAAATTTGACCTGTGCCAGACCAGCAGTTGTGTGCGATGATATTCCCGAATTGCGACGTGGAAGATTTGGTTCGGAGCTCGAAGAAGGGAGAAAGTAAAAAAAAAGGTCGTTGTCGTGTATGGTCCCACAATGTTCATCCTGCATCCTGCTCTTTATGCAAAGAACACAAGAAAAGAGTAAATGAACCTAGCGCTAAATGTCTCATATTCGCGAGACTTACAACCCTGCTGTAACTGCTGCCCGATGGATGGTGAATCGACGGTTAGGAGGATGTGCCTATGGGTACCTGATTTTCTTGTAGAGGCACGAATGCAGTACCGATTTTATGCCTGTAGTAGTAATGTTCTCCGCAAAAATATCATTCACGACTGTGAAAACCCACCCCTAGCTAAACTACGTGGTCTCGAACATCGAGCCGAAACTCACAAGCGTCAATTTTGTTGAACGCAGACGAGAAACCCCCGAATTCTGCCTTCTACCATGAGGACTCACGTGGGCTCTAGTGAATGCACTGCACTGTGGCTTCCAGGCGACTTTATCCTACTGTAAGCCTCGGGGCTGATCGGTAGTCGGAAACTTACTTACTTAGCCGAACAGCGACGTTCGTTGAGCTTTATCATTGCAGGATTCGCCCACGTGCGCGTCGGAGATATAAGGAGCCGTCGTGACTCATACGAGGTCTTCGCCGCCGCCACTCGCTCGACTGGATGAGGCCACCAGCCTGTGTATCGTCGCTGCCAGCATGTTTCTACTGTATTCTGACTTACCCCTCATTGGGGTTGCATCTAATAAAGATTAGTGGCTACTCTCGGTTGTACATGCGGATAGGAGGGGAAGGCCTGAGGAATGGAATCCTCAGGCCTATGACTGGTAGCAGAGAGTTACGCCACTCCAGCGACGGACGACAGGCAAGTCTCTCTTCGCTTCCTTTCAAGTGAGTTCTTCAGTTCTCCCTCGGTTTTTTTTCTTTCGATTAGTAAGTTTTTTTCTTTCTTCTTTCCTTTCTTTCGAAGATTTTGTTGGATATTCGCCTTCATTCTTTTGGGAGCGGCTCCCTTTTGCTCGTTTTGAGCAACCGTCTGACACTTTTTGGGTGACGGGATAGCGCTCCTTTAAGAGCTCTTTGCAGCATTGACAGGAATGCAGTCCCTCACCGGTACTGCTCTCGATTGGCGAGTTATTTTTTTTCTCTTTTTCTGCATTCTGGCCCCGTCGGGGCGGATTTCGGCGGTACAATAAAACGTTTTAGCTTTTTTAGGGTTTCCTATGCGGACCTTTTTTTTATTATTCTTTTGTTGTCCACTTCGGCGAAGACAGCCTTCTTTTTGCTTAGTTTGTTGTTTTCTTCTAATGGCCTGTCTCCGTCCAGCGGCCGCGGCGGAGCAGGGAGTTACCCTTTTTGTTTCCTTTTTTTTCGTTTCCCTAGATGGATAGGTTCTTTTGCTGGTTCTTTCCTTTTTTTAATTTGGTTTGATTACTTGTAGAGAAGCCTGTTTGTGTTTGTTTTTGGGGTGATCACCAGGGGCAGGGCCCCTTTAGCTTCAAGCGTTCAGTTCAATGATAGGACTCCCCGGGTTGAGGCTGTCAGGTAAACGACTTCGAGTTTAGTATGTCGTATTTCAGCGTCAAGTTGGTACTAGTTTGCGTAGAAGGCTTTTACATGAAAGAAGGGCTCGACGCCACGTTTTTTTTCCTCTCTCTCCTTTTTGTTCGGATGACCATTTTCTTTTCTTTTTTTTCCTTTGAAAGTTCTTGAAACGTAGTCGAAGTCTGCACTCCGACTATAATATCACTTTTCAGTAGACAGGGGACCCATACTACTATTTTGGATAACGTTTTGGTTTTTTTCTTTTTCTTTTCGTGGACCTAGGGGATATTCCTTTTGTGTCTCTTTCAGTGTCGTTTGCTGGCGCGCCTTTCCTTCAGCGTTACTTCTTGTTGGCAACTCGTCAAGAAGCCGGTGTAGCTCTGGCAGATGTCAGTGTTCGCGCTCCCAGCCTTATCGCCGCTTCCATCTCCGCCGGCACGCAGCCTTGGCTAACGCCGCGCTGCGAGCAGCCTTTCTCAGGAACGCCTGTTTCGCATTCCTCGCTACAGTACTCCGTCCTTTTTTTTTCTCACAACATAGCGGGGGCGTTCCTTCTGCATGGCTGTCGCTCTCCTATCCCACAACATCCATTTATCCCAAAACATTCCCCCTCCTCGCTTAATGGGTTCATGCCACCCATGCCCCGCTTTACATTCCATACCCCCGCGCACGGGACCTATATATCAGTCAAGCGTCGACGTGAGGAGTCATTCGAGCGTGTTCGTCATGCCCATTACCCGCGGTATGACCAAGTCGGCATCGTCGTCTACCGTCGAGGCTTCTGCCCAGCCGTCTGACACTAAATCAGCCAAGCCGGAACCCTTCCCTGGAGTCGTCTTCGACCTGTTCGACGACTCCCAGACGATACTCCTCTGCTCGGGCGGGACGCCAAGCTGATTCGCGACGCTACAACATCGGCATTGACACAAGTCTGGAACGACACCTGCGCGTCAACAGCGCTGCTGACCGTCGGATTAATGAAAACAACGAGGCCCTCAAGGAAAAGCTGAGTGAGTCCTTCGCGGTCGTGGGTAGGCGTCTCGATACACTGCCGTCCGTAGCTATGTTTCAACCGGATTATCAGTCTTGGATAACTCCCTTCACAGGTCCCAACTGAGAATGGAGTTCAGTTCTCGATTTGGCTCCGGCGCTTAGAGGACATCATGCGCATGCGCCCCATCCCTCTCACGGAAGGAACAACAATCCAACTTCTTGATTGGTCACCTTGATGGGGTAGCGCGCGAGAAGGTGGAAGAGCTAGATGAGCATGCGCGGAAGATTTACTCCTCCGTAGTGGCCCACCTAATGGCTTTCTTGAGCCCACATCAGCGCTACGTTGCCAGGCAAAAGCTCTCCGCATGCCGTCAGAAGCCGGGCGAGTCTTGCACGTCTTTCGCTAACCGCATCTTGAACTTGGTGCGGGCGGCGACGTCGGGGCAGGACCCGACCACGCAGAAGAGCGCATTTTAGAAGAGTTCGTGTCCAGGCTACGAGGGGACATTCGTTATTCCGTCAAGCTAGGATGGCCCCACTACTTTCGAACAGGCAGTAAATATAAGGCGCAAACGGTCGAGCAGCTGCTGGGCGAAGCTACTGCGGACCGTCTGCTACATCCTGTGTCTACTCTAGTTCAGGTGCAGGTAGTCACACGTCCTGCTCGGGACCGCCGTAGTCGGCTCCCGGCAACCGCCTTTCAGGCAGCCCGTCCATGGAGGGACGCCACTCGATCGCCAGCCCAACGAACAGAGCGCCCTTCCCTCCCCCGAACCACTGACTATCGCTGTTTCAATTGCGGGGGGTTAGTCACTTTGCGTCCGGTTGCCCCTCACGCGGCGTTTGGCGCCCATCGGGTTCACTTCACGAGTACGCGCTCCCCCAGCAAGGTCCCGCGCTGCGTACTCCCCTCGACTCCCTCCGGCATCTTTCCTGTCCCTAAAATGTGTCGTCGCTTCCCACCACGCTAAGGTCAACGACGACACCGCGCTGGACGTTGCTGCTCTCTCCGCGTCCCTGCGAGACTCTCAGACACTCGCACATTCCCAAGCACGCGTTTCGGCACTACTTGGCGCAATGAGGAGCTCGCTCAGTCTTCTCTCCCAGCGCCGCCTAGCCCATATGGTTTTCAGGGCCAGAGCAGTGCCCCATCATTACCGGACGTCCGGCTTCTATGCACGGTGTCGTTTGTCACTGCGTTTGTTGGCCCTGCTCAGGGGATAGACGCTTGGCTTTGTCCCAAGGAGGACCAATTTACTCTCTTTCACCTCCACTCCCTCACAAACTGTGCGTCGCTATGGCCCAATATCTCGACAGACCCAGTTTAGGCCTCGATACAGCTATACCGACCCAACACCCAGCTTTACTCCACCCCTGCGGTGTTGTGCAAGATCGTTCGCCAATCGGTGACCTTTTCTGTCGGGTTTTTCGGGACGCGCACAGAGACTCATTACGAACATCCTTACCCGTGTCCGTCGAAGAATGTTGGCGGATGGCCCTCCACCATAAATGCCTGTCGGGTCCCTCTCAGAGTCATCCGGCGTGTGGCGCACATCTAATGAGTTGCATTTCCAGTTTCCTTCTGTCCCCTTCGGATGTTGCACCAATAATACGGCAGAGGTCACTAACTGTTTCTCATATGCCACCACGGTGCATACTCGACATAACGATGCTTTTCCACAAGGCGCCAGTTGGCGACCTTTCCGAATGCGCCTACGGGGATGGACTCTGTACACTGGCACACGGCTCGCTTCTCATTTGGGTCCCTGACAGGGAGGAACGGTGCGGCTACACGTTGGTGTCCCACATGACCGGGGAACTGTCGGATGGCGTCTGGATTAGTCGTGACCACGAATTTGCACTGTCCTGGGCCAACTCTTCTGTCACGGTGGAGGACTGTGACCATAACCTTATATTGACAGATCAGGGGTATGGTGTTGAGCTCCGGCGCCGCCAGCCTCGTAGCTCGTTCACCGCGCGTGGGCCTCTTCACTTCCAATCAACTGTCGGCCCAGCTCTTAGCCGTGGAAAGTGCCTCGCTTTCAGCCATGGGTACTCTCTTCCGCAACGCCTTGCGCACGTTGTGCGACCGAACTGATACCATTTCCGTGGCCCTTCAAGCGGCCCTATATGTACACCCCACGCTCACTATGCGCGCTCTTCTGGGTCGCCAGGATATCGAAGCCTTCTACTTCGACGACGGCTATATCCAGGTTCGACGCTGCGTTTCGTTGCCCTCCTCAGCACTTTCTTTCCTTCCCTTCAATACTACCTGCTATACCTTTCCCCAGGTGGAACTCCGGCTGCCTAGTACCATTCGCATGCGGGCTTTTTTTAGACCCGCCGCACAGGAGTCATCCACAAGCAAGGGACAACGGTCGCTTGCTCTAGCACAACGCCCTTCCTGTTCCCGTTCGGCAACGGGGTACATAGCTTTGATCCGCACAGCGGCACGTGGTCCTCGTTCAGCCCTCGGGAGGTCACCAAACTACCATCTGCACCCTCCCAGGAGGGTATTCGCCTAGCGCCACCGCTTACGGTCTTTCACAATCTTATCCTCACTAATTTCACTGAAACGTCTAACGATCAGCAGCTCCATGAACTGTGGGTGGCGCGGGATCACTTTCGTCTGGTTTACCATTTTGTGCGATTGGATGATACTTCAACGGGAGGCCACGGATCAGTCAGGGTGACGGATTCCTCAGTCAGTTCATTTTTTTCGATTTTTCGGAGTTTTCCTTCCCGCTTTGATTTTTGGGTAACCTGCTGTTGCATTTTCATTACCTTTTCATTTTTTAAATATTTACTTTGCTTTTATTTACGGCTACAGTTTCCTACTGTTTCCCCACACCCATTATACCCATCCCTCTCCAGGATTCGCCGCCGCCCTTTATCCTTACTTCCCCCACCGCCCCCTCGCCGTATTATTAAACAGCTCGTTCGAGTTGAAGCCCCTAGCTTGGACATTTCCTCTATCGATTTTGGCGCTTCAACCGTCTGGTCGTCACGAACGGAGGGAGCTTCATCAGCAGTGCTGTCTCTCGACTCCCCGCGGCCATACTTTATCGCTCAAGTGCCTATCCGCGCTAACGGCGTTCACATGTTGGGGCTAGTAGACATGGGTGCGGGGGTCACCATCGCCAGCCAGTCCCTTCTACCCCTATTAGGACTCTTTCCTATAGATCCTTCCATAATTCCGGCTGCGGTAGGCATGGCCGGTATTCCCGTCAAGTTCGCTGGCTGTGCCCCCCTCGAGCTTCATCTCGGTAAACTCACGTATAACCACGTGGTGCACTTCACGGAAGGCAACTGCATCCCTCGCGCAGCGGATGCATATAACATCATTTTTGGTAACGATTTCCTCCAGCGCCTTCCCCCTTGGGCTCTAAATTACCCATGTCGGTTGATGCTGGTAGGAGACGACGTCATACCAATCCTTACAGCCGCCCCAGAACCCACAACAGGAGGCTCGGTTCCCATACCCGTCTGCGCCCGGACCACAGTGGTCGTTCTCCCCGGCGTCAGAGTTACCGATTTCGTGTTACGTCAAAGATAAAGACCCGCACTACGCTTTGTGTAAAGACAAAGCTCCCTCCCAGTGGGGGGAACCTCAAGCGCGCGCCTTCGCCCAGCTGAAAGAGGCGCTAATCCAGCGACCATGTTTAGCGTTGCCGCAGGACAAGGAGTTCATCCTTCATACGGATGGTAGTACGATTGCTGTCGGAGCGGCTCTCCTGCAGGTACAAGATACCACGCTTCCCCCTCGAGCAATAGGGTATTTCAGCAAGACCTTGTCTCCAGCACAGCAGAAGTGGAGCCCCACTCATATAGAGTTGTTCGCCATGATCAGCGCACTCCGCTTCTTCCGGGCCACCATTTACGGCAATCACACCCGAATATTGTGCGATCACCAGCCGCTAACGTTTTTGCTCCGGCACCGGCGACCTCATGACAATTTGGCTCCGGTGGGTCGTGGAGCTCCAAAGCTTCGACGTCACCATCGAGTATCATAAAGGGGCGTCCAACGTGATCGCAGATCATCTCAGCCGCAACGCGGATCCCAATAACAGGTTCGCGGACGGCAGCGCGGAGACCGATGACATTGTTGAATTTCCGCGGTGTCTCATCCACCAGCGTGCTCGTGGTGAAGACGCAGAGGGTTCCCTTCCGTCGGCAAGTCCAACCATACCGCCACCGACATACATCCGCCCTTATGACGCGCTCCTGGCACAGAAACAGGACACCTTGTGCAGCACCATCATGCACTTCCTCGAAACCGGTGCGTTTCCGGAACACACGTCACCAGCGCTCCAGGACGCCTGTACTTCACTGCTAGATCGGTGCGTCCTGAAAAAGAATGGCTGTCTGTACTACCTGGGACCGTCCTGCGCCCACTCTCCCGTATCCAACCATTGATTATGGTCCCTTCCAAGTTGCGGGAACCCTTCTGCATCGCCTTGCATGACAGACCAA